CTTCTGTTCTTTGTGTATCACAGAGCAGCAACCACCAAATTCTTAGAACCTGTTTTTAGCTTCAAGCTGTTTATAGTCAAAGGAGCTTGCAAAGAAAAGCGTCTGGACTTCTTTAAGTTGCTTGAAGACGTTTCACCTCTCATCCGAGAAGCTTCTTCAGTTCTAAGGTCAAATGGTGGAGAGTCCCAGATATAAACCCAGTGGGAGTTTCCCCCCACAGAGGGACAAAAGGACCCCCCTGATGATCCTCTAATCACATGAGCCAAGGTGTGAAACTGGGTGTGGGTCCCAATCAGCCAGAGTTTCAGGTGTGTTCATTGTGAAACCTGGCCCCACCTTATCATGCGAATTCCTGAGGTCAGATGGCCCAGGATGTGAGTGGGCGTTAAGGCGTCTGGGGAGGGATCTCAAAACTGGATTATAGATGGCAGAGAGTTGGTGTCGTAAACCCCCGCCTCTGTTCAAAGATGGTCGCTCACAGTGCACATAGATGCTTCTTTCACTCCTCTTTCAAACCATCTGTCCTCTCTGTCCAAAATGTGAGCATTGGCATCCTCAAAGAGTGACCTTTATCCTTAAGATGCAGATGGACTGCTGAGTCTTGTCCTGTGGAGGTGGCTCTTCTGACCTCAGGAATTCGCATGATAAGGTGGGGCCAGGTTTCACAATGAACTCACCCGAAACTCTGGCTGATTGGGACCCACACCCAGTTTCACACCTTGGCTCAGGCGATTAGAGGATCATCAGGGGGTCCTTTTGTCCCTCTGTGGGGGGTCACTCCCACTAGGTTTATATCTGGGACTCTCCACCATTTGACCTTAGAACTGAAGAAGCTTCTCGGATGAAGGTGAAACGTCTTCAAGTAACTTAAGGAAGTCCAGACGCTTTTCTTTGCAAGCTCCTTTGACTACGATGACCTGGATGACTGAGAACCTTCACAGACATCAAGCTGTTTATAGACCCGGAGGAGCGTTTCCTGTGGTTCTGCGGCTTTTCCAGCCCAGACGTGTAACCTCCACCTTGTTGTTGTGGGTGTAGTTGTTGCTGTGTCAACCTGGGGTCCGTTCTTCGTACCTCGCTTACTACATCCAAGATCAAATGACACATCCAAGATCAAACCATCGCGCTAACCGTGAGCTCGCTAATCCGGTTCTCCGAACACACCTGTTGTTGACGATTAGTACAGCTGGATGAAGTAATGTGAGATCACTGGGTGGCTTAACAGGGGCTACGCATCGATAGTAGAAACATTGATCGGCAACCCTTTGATTGGTCAGCGAAAATGTCCAGTATTTTTCGGCAGCAGAGCAAGAACTCTTGAGTGAGGGATTTCAGGAGTTTCAGAGTTTAATCAGAACACAAGGGAACACTGCAAAGGCTGCAAAAGCAAGGAGAGAGGGCTGGCAGAAAGTTGCTGACAAATTAAACTCGTAAGTAATTTAATAATAACAATAATAATGGAGTGGATCTATATAGCGCTTTTCAAGGCACCCAAAGCGCTTTACAATGCCACTATTCATTCACTCTCACGTTCACACACTGGTGGAGGCAGCTACAGTTGTAGCCACAGCTGCCCTGGGGCAGACTGACAGAAGCCAGGCTGCCATATCGCGCCATCGGCCCCTCTGGCCAACACCAGTAGGCGGTAGGGTAAATTTATTATATTACATTATATCCTCTTTCACATTAGAGCCACAACAGGACCCACTAGAACATGGGAACAAGTAAAAGTGAAATATAAGAATATTCTACAGAATGGTAATATTTATCACTTATATTGCTTTTCGTCTCTTGGAAAGAGACCCTGGAATAATCTGTTTGTTTGTTCATAACAGCAACCAAGAAAAGGGCAGAGCAAAAAAAAGACAGGTGGTGGTCCTGCACCCCCTCGTCAACAAGTTGGTTAAGTAAATAATATCCTCACGGGAATATCGATATCTCTCTATGAGCACACTGTCACGCTGAGCTAAAGGATCCTGTCTGTCCCGCAATATACGCTGAATTCTGGAAACTCTCCTTATCAATCTTGCACCTTCCGCAATGGGTGGCTCGCGTATACGGACAGGACATGGCTGCGACAGACTTCCCAAATCCACCTTCGCTTTTATAGCCGTGGTCTCTCATCTTGATTACACGAAGTAATTTACTATTACTACTCTGACATATGAATTACATCTGTAATAATCACATACATGTAATAGAATGTTAATAGTACATTTCCCTTTTTTTTAGGAAATGACCTGTATGTATCTGTATGACATCAATGAAAGGATCAAGTACTGCATTATCTTTAGTTACATTGATGTTATTTATTTATGGTGAAACAGTGGTGGAATATCGCTGTTGCTTTCATATAAATGAAGCAGACATACCTGCGTGGCCGCGATCTAATCCTGTTTACATAAAGTAAACCTGCTCCCGAGCAGGTTTACACTTACGGATCTGTTGCTATGACAGCAAGTCCCGGATGAGCTTCGGAGAACCGAACGATCCAAGATCACGCGAAATCGTCAACAATCTAATCCAGCTAACTTACTTAGCGAGGTACGAAGAACGGGCCCCTGTTGGCGTCCTGTTATGGTGTAAATGTAAACAAAGGTCTGTGGTGAGGGGAGGCGGGGCTGTTGTCTGACGCCGCCTTCTCAATTCAATCTTGATAAAGGTTCATTTGAATGTGACATTTGACCCCCCCCCCTCCCTTCTCCCTCACAGATGGTGTCAAAGCTGGACAGCCCCCAGCCATTCCACCTCGTCAGCCCACCTGTAAGCTCCACCCCTCTCGTTACTCGTCACTGTCATCATCACCACCTGACAGCCCCCCCTCCCTGCCTCCACGAGAGCCCTCAGCTCCCCTCTACACCTCCTGCCCCCCCTCAGGGTCGTCCCCGCTGTGACCTCCTGCCTCAGGCTTTCTTCCCCCCAACATCTCTGGCCCAACTTCCATTTGCTCCACCCCCACCACATTGTCCTCCTCACCCCCTCTCCCTGCTCCTGTCACCCCACCTCCAGGAAATTACCCCTGCCTTCTCCACCCCTCCCCCACTCCCTCCCCTCACCTTGGATGGCCCCCTGTGCCTCCACGTCACAGTGTTCCAAACTCCCCCAAAGACATACAAGAGGGATTCTGTTGGACACGCCCCCATGCTGGACACGCCCTCTGTGCGATTGGACAGCCTGGAGTTCCAGAGGGTTCAGGGACAGCTGATTGGACAGGCTGTGGAGGAGACTGAGTTAACACTACAGCTGATTGGATCAGAAGAAAGTAAAAATGTGTGATGGACCAATCAGGAAGCTCTGACTGCTTCGAACTGAGACTGACTGTAAAACAAAAATGTGCTCTTATTCTGAACATCTCTGAGCTCAGACCTCAGAGGGACGAGACCCTCAGGTACTGGCCTGGAGCCACACAGGTACTGCAGTGGTTCAGGTGGACCTGATGAAGAAGATGGTGGTGATGTCATTATTAGTGATGTAAACAAAAACAAGGGAATAAACATTTCTTTCACTGAGCTCGAAGAAACCTGGAATTCATCGGTCTTTATTTTACCTGCTGAACTGAACTGTGGCTGGTTTTTGTAGGTGGGCTCCTCCACATCTACTGCCCCTGCAGCAGCGGGTGGTCTTCAAGTCTGACATCATTATTCGTGTCTGGGTTCAAACTCTGCTTCAGGTCCAAACAATCACTGCAGCATCACTGAGAGTTAAAAACTGTCTAAATTCTTTCATCTTTAATAAAATGATCAGCGTTGCTGCTTTACCAGGTGTAACTATGAAGTTTAACATCCAGGCATCCATGAAAACAGGATTTATTAAATTCAATGGAGTTAGAAGTTAGCAGGAAGTTAGCTTGCCAGTTTCCATCTAAACATGATATAGCATGTTCTGACTGAGAGATTTATGAACAAATTTAAACGTACGGCTCTATCACTTCCAACATAAATGAAGACAGAAAACTAAACAGCAGTGACGTTTGTAAGGTTACCAAAGTTGGGCTAGCTGGTGTATAATGATGTGCTACGTGATCGCTAGCAACACAGCTATGTTAGCATAAACACAGTGAAGCTGGAGGATGAACGCGAACACTTTTCCGCTTGATAAAAATTAACGTGAGGGTTCCTGATGGTTAGAGACAATATCAGTCGCATGGCAAGATGCTGTAAAAGGACCAAACTTCAGTCAGGAGAACAACTGAGATAATCCATCCACAATACGAGGTTAGTCATTATACTGCTGCATGGGCTGGGCTGTAGATAGGGTTTAAAAACTGAGCTTTAAAATGAACAATGGTAATAAAAACCGAGAGGGGACAATAGTGATCACTGACTGTTTTTAGGGGTTTGTTCAGATTAAACTGAACTATATACAAAGCACTAAAACATGTTAAAAACACAGACTTAATAAATGCAGAGTAGTTTGGGCCGGGAGCAGGATTCATCATGTCATCACTTAAAGAGCAGATAAGGTGGCGCTGGGCTGGTTTCAATTAACTTTATTGACATTGAACACACACAAAGCCCCAGGATACAAGTGTTTCTCTGCTCTGCATTCAACAAACAAAACCAAGCAGAGCATATTGAAATAAATGCGTGGAGGGATGGGTGTCTTGTTACCATAGATACAATAATTACCTTACAGTTTATTTACAGTGATTAGATGACTCGGTAGACGTTTCATCCCCATGTTTACTGAAACTGACAAAGATCAAAGCTCGTGGTTTAAGTTTGACTCCAGTCTGAATTTGTTTTACAAAGTATGAAACGACACGAAACTTTTACAAAAACGCTCCGGGAATCAGTCTGCAGCAAGTCATTCCCACAGGCAAATAAAGAGCAGAACTCAGTTCTCCTCAGAGGACAGACCGGAGACACCTGATACTGACGCAGGTGATTCAGGTGATGTTCAATCACATCAGCGACATCCAGGTGTCAATGATTACAGCAGATCAATAATTATTGATTACTGAAGTCTGACAAACTGAAATCCGCCCGTGCACACCCTGACCCGGGTGACCCCAGGTGAGCCAGCACTCTGGTTTCCTGGTTCATTGTGGTTGCTGCAGGTCTCTTCTCACCTGAAATGAAATTGTGCCTGTCACAATAAAGCCAGTTTATCTTTTAAAATTATGCACATATTTAAAACTCCTCCCACTCTGACGTAACTAATCATGGCGATTGGTGACTCGTCAGTCTGTGGGACAGGTGAGTTTTACAGGAAGTGAGTCACTTAGAAACTCCTTTTATTTAGATTACATCTGCAAATGACAAAAGGGCGGAGCTCAAACAACACACTAACCTGGTGATTGGCCCAGCTCAGAGTGGCAACCCCTGATTGGTACAGTCCTGGATCCCGATAAGTCTCTGGATCCGGTCCAGGATGATCTGGTTGGAGCTCCTGCAGTCGTGGGCGCTATAGGGCGCAGCGATCGTCAGGACGCCCGCCACTTTTAGCTCCTCCCCCTCCTCCTCCACGGGGATCCGGTTCTCCTGCAGCCACCGCCGCACGGCATCCCTCCGCTGACGCAGCTCCTTGGGGTCCAGGCAAGGGGACGGCGGGGGGAGGAAGACCGACCGCAGACTCTTCGCCGTCTCATCATCAGCAGCCGCTCGCAGGACCTCCACCGCCTCCACGGCGTGACCCATCACCACCCGCACCGCCACCGCCTCACCAAAGGACACCAGGACCACACTGCAGGGCACAGGAAGACAAGGGTCAGAGCCACGTGACGATCAGGAGTCACACTTAAACTTAACTTAAACGAGTTAAGGTCAAAGTTCACAAGAAACGGCTGAAAAAAAACTCGACTCGTTCGTCACGATCAGCTGTTTGATTTACAAATTAGGCTCCACGTGCGCGTTACCTGGCGGACACCGGGTCCACGCTTAACAGCCAGCCGCGGTGCTCCTCGCCTTTTCCCGCTCTCACCGTCACCTCTTTGTTAAGGTAGTGAAGCCACCTGAGCGGACCCATGAGGGGCCAGCCGCACTGCATCATGGACCTCACGGTGCTGAGATCGATAGCTGAGCAATAATCGATTCACACACCCCTCCACCCCCCTGCCGTCTGCTGTTCACAGCTGTTAACGCTCCTGAGAAAACACAACACGGAAACAAAAGTTCCGCTTTAAGGCGTAAACTGAGCCGCGGCTGCCCCCTGCAGGCCGAAGCGGGCACAGCAAAAACATTCAGTAGAAGCGACTAGAAATAGAATAGACACCCTCCGGCCAAAGCATAAAACATTAAAGAGAAACCAAATAAGAAGAAAAGTAATACTGCGAGCTCACAATAAAACAGCAAAAATAAAAGAAATACGTTAACTGATGAAAATCCAAAACTCCTGAAATAAGTCCACAAATTTAATTTCGAATAAAACGTGACTCTTTAAAAGCTCAATAAATAATGAACAAGAAGAGTGAGAAAGGCAGCACGTTTCTGTTGGTGACAGCAGATTTGCAGCGGTTCACACTTAAACTGCAACATCAGCGAACAATGGATTACACTTTTGGTTGATATTGATCAGTCACACTTTATAAATGGCTTTAATTATAAAATGTATATTTATTTTTAACCACAGACGATAAGGCAGATGTTATTTTCATGTCCTTCAGCTAAACTTTTATATGGAGGTGATTCCAACACAGTGATGAATGAAAGCATGGATAGATGCCCACATGAACAAACATCATCCGAGCTCGAACATATCCGTGACCATAAAGCAGTCCAGTTTAGACTGATTTGAAATTATTTGGACAAATTCAGAATAAAGACTGTTGGAAACTAAATTAATCCAAAGTTAAGCCCTGAGACTTATTAACAAGAAAAACTATTTAAGAGTTTTTATGGAAATGAAATTTGATATCAGAAATTTTTCAAAAGGAAAATGCTTTCTCTAAAGACAAACGAGAGAGAAATTAAAATTATTTCTAGAATAATAAGATTATGTGAAAAAACAATTTGTCTAAACGATAATCTCACCGTCAGTCAGATGTTAAAGCTGTTAGGAGGAAACGGTGAGAACAGCGGAAAAAATGCCCAAAATATTTCTTTAGTTAACATAAAAGAAACTTTGAACAATGTTTTATTAGAAAACTCAGAATTATTCATTCAATATGTGAAAGTGAAAATAGTTTCCTAAATATATTTACCAAAAATCATATTTGGCTCATTCAGAAAATACAAATGGATAAATTTCTCCATAGGCAAGAAAGGAATTCCAGTAGTAGAGGAGACCGTAATGTGGGTCAGTTCTAACACTTCCAATTTCTCCAATCAGAGCTAAGTTTCAAATGATGCGATTCATTCTGTACATGCCAAATTCAGTTCTTCTATCACATGTGAAAAATTAGCACATTTTGGCAAACACGGACAATTTAAGAAGAAAAGAAGTAATTTGCTTGCGAAAAGTAAGTTTAAAAAAAAAATTTCAATTTATGATAGCATTATCTGCTTTGCAGTTAAACTCATCAAACTGAAATTATGTTATTTGTATGTCTATGGCGATGTATTCTGTGTAGGTCTTTAGTGCTAATGTTTTAGCTGTTGGCTGTAATGTTAGCTAGTTGAGATGGGATGGCCTTTATTTGTCAGTTGCAGTTGCCCACAACCGAGATGACAGACCGTACATACAATACACAAACATCACATTGGGGAGACAGGTCAGGCTAGGTAGCGAGGAAAAAAACATTGAAATATGTAACACAAAAGGATAATCCAGGAATCATCATCACACCATATCACAATAAAACACAGACAGCAACATGGGAGAGTGTTCCAGTGTGTACAGCTGATCTGGGACCGCTGCAATCTTCGATCGCACCTCCAGCTGATCCACTGTCCACATCGGATGGGAGGTAAACCTGGGAGGAGGTGTTGGATTCGGGGGGGGGGTGATAGTGAGGGCGTATCAGTATCAGTGTACATGTTTCATGCGTGTGCATTTGTGTGTGTATGTTTATCCCGTGTTCAGCTGAGAGAAAGTGTCATCTCGCCCGGTTAAGCGAAGGTCTGGCGGCCTTGAAGGAGGGACAAAGAGTTCTGACAACAATCCTGTTATCATGGACGAATTTGTTGTTCCAGTCAGCTTCGACCTCGGCAGCCTTCAGCTGGCGCCAGTGGGATGGCCGCATGAGTGAAGATGGTGAATGTTTGGGTGTAGTGCGAACAACTGCATCCAATTTATGCACAAATTATGGAGTGCATATTAAAAAAGGACAGTTTCAGGGTATCCCACCCTTAGATAGAGATGGGCACACCTGACTGATGACACTGCAATTTTCCTGTCGAATACACACGATGTGAGCAGACAGCTACTTGTGTCAGGGCTGAAAATGAGTCTGTCTTATTACCTTTCAAACATTTAAATCTGTCAGAATTAATGGTATACCTGTTAAAACTACATATTTGGGTGATTATTGAAAACAATCAAAAAGGATGTAAACTTCTCCAATTTTTGCTCCTGTAACTCCTGTGTTACTGCCGAAGACTGGACAATGTTGCTTTATGACCAGAAATGCCCAAAGAGATCTCTACAGACTTACATCAACTTTGATTTGATTAATATGGAGAAAGAAAAGTGATCGCTTCAAAAGGATATTCCACATAAGGCAAACAAAAAGATGGTCTGGAATGACCTCACGGCACAAGCATAGTCCCAACCAATGCTGGTGGTGCATCTTTTCAACAGCTCGAATCACATAATGAAGCATTGACGTCATTTCAGAGAGTTCATCTTTGGTCACATGATATTCTGGAGCCCGACACGGGCTTCTTTTGGACACGCCCATGTTCAAACGTTTCATACAAATGAGTTTTTAATCAAATAACCGTAAAACAGATGCACCACACCGATAGCCTGATATTAAACAGAAGTTGCTAATGCAGAGAGGGTGATCACAGTGAGGCGGCTCATTTCAAGCTGCTGTTCATATTTTTGGCCACCAGATGTCACCAAAGAGGACTAAAGCGCCTCGAGTAGTGAACCATCTTGGTGGAGGGACATGGTGCAGGTTCACCGAGCAACCCCCGGCCTGGACGCGCTCTGCTCAGCTTCGTTAGCACTTTTAAGATGATCATTATTCTGGTGATTTGTGACACAGAACTGTTTTTTAAATCACTGCTGCTGTTGATCTCTAAGGTGAGGCATGCACAGTAGATATTTGAGACTGAAGTTTCCTGTCCTTCAGCCTAATGGAGTAAATCACTGCAGTCATCCCAGTCCAAGCGAACGTAGTCTGAGTGATTGAACTAAAGTACGCTGAACGTGCTGCTCATAAAAACGTTCCTGCTGTGAATAAAAGTAAAGAGTAAACTCTCACACTCCGAGCGTCACCTCCTCCTGACAGCTTTAGTTTTCAAGCTCACACCTGCAGACTCACTGCTGTTTATGGTTGGAGAGTAAATATAAAAACACAATTCCAACAAGTCTGACCTGAGGTCAGCAGGTACAGTGCAGGTGTGGTGTTTCAGGATCAGACATTAATGCTTGTACAACAACAGCACTGCTGTAAAACTGCCAACAGAAAACAACCAAGAAATGAAGCCGACAGTCTGTTTATTGTTGATTATTTATCACTGATGCTCGTTGGGGAAACACAAAGACATTCAGACCCTCCTACTGTCTCCATAGCTGTGCAAGGGATCATCCTCGGATGGTGATGCCAACTTCTACAGATCTCGTTGGATCCTGACCTGCTCTCTCTCTCTCTTGCGATCACTGAGCTCATTTCCTGTCTGTTGATGTGTTTTTATGTATACAGCTGTGTCAATATTATTGATTACTGATTAATGATTGTTGCGCTTCAAGCTGCATTTGGTTTCACTTCCTGTCTGATCGATAACGACTGTTACCAGCACGCCTGTGTCTGGCTGGACTTAAACAGTGTGTGTGGATGTTTGTCTGAGTCTGCTCAAACTACTCTCAGCTGACCTTTGACCCTCCTGAACATTCTTGCTCTGAGCTCACATCGAGCTGCTCAGAAGGTTTAAACTTCGTCACCCCCTCTTTCCAGCTCCACCCATGTGGTGATGTCATCGCTGGATGGAGCAGCTGCAGAGCTCTGGAGAGTCAGAGGGAGGGTCAGACCTGCAGACCGAGCAGCTGAAACATGGCAGACTCTTCATTGTCCTCCAACAACTCCTCCTCCTCGCTGAGAGACCTCACGCACACAGGTGAGACACCTGATTGTTGGCATGGAAACAGTGTAGAGTAGACGGAGGCTGCCACCTGTTCTCACCTGACTGCGTTTCACCAAACAGGCTAACAAAGCTCTGTTGTCCCGATCAGCTGACTGTCAGTCAGGCTGCTGTGTGCGCGTATGTGTGTGTGCGCGTATGTGTGTGTTTGTCTGTGTGTGTGTGTGCGTGTGTGTGCGTTTGTGTGTTTGTCTGTGTGCGTTTGTGTGCGTGTGTGCGCGTTTGTGTGTGTTTGTCTGTGTGTGTGTGCGTTTGTGTGCGTGTGTGTGTTTGTCTGTGTGCGTTTGTGTGCGTTTGTGTGCGTGTGTGTGTTTGTCTGTGTGCGTTTGTGTGCGTTTGTGTGCGTGTGTGTGTTTGTCTGTGTGTGTGTGTTTGTCTCTGTGTATGTGTGTGCGTGTGTGTGTCTTTGTTTGTCTGTGTGTGTGTGTGTGTGTGTCTTTGTTTGTCTGTGTGTGTGTGCGTGTGTGTGTGTGTGTGTGCGTGTGTGTGCGTTTGTGTGTGTGTGTGTGTGTTTGTCTGTGTATGTGTGTGTGTGTGTGTGTGCGTTTGTGTGCGTGTGTGTGTTTGTCTGTGTATGTGTGTGCGTGTGTGTGTCTTTGTTTGTCTCTGTGTATGTGTGTGCGTGTGTGTGTTTGTCTGTGTGTGTGTGTTTGTCTGTGTGTGCGTGTGTGTGTGTGTGTGTTCGCGTGTGCGCGTTTGTGTGTGTGTGTGTGTCTGTGTGTGTTTGTCTCTGTGTGTGTGTGTGTGTGTGTGTCTGCGTTTGTGTGTGTTTGTCTCTGTGTGTGTGTGTGTGTCTGTGTGTGTGTGTGTGTGTGTGTGTGTGTGTGTGTGTGTGTGTGTGTGTGTGTGTGTGTGTCTGTGTGTGTGTGTGTGTGTGTCTGTGTGTGTGTGTGTGTGTGTGTGTTTGTCTCTGTGTGTGTGTGTCTGTGTGTGTGTGTGTGTCTGTGTGTGTGTTTGTCTCTGTGTGTGTGTGTCTGTGTGTGTGTGTGTTTGTCTCTGTGTGTGTCTGTGTGTGTGTGTGTGTCTGTGTGTGTGTGTGTGTCTGTGTGTGTGTCTGTGTGTGTGTTTGTGTGTCTGTGTGTCTGTGTGTGTGTTTGTGTGTCTGTGTGTGTGTGTGTTGTGTGTGTCTGTGTCTGTGTGTTTGTGTGTGTCTGTGTGTCTGTGCCTGTGTGTGTGTGTGTGTGTCTGTGTGTCTGTGTGTGTGTGTGTGTGTGTGTGTGTGTGTGTGTGTGTGTGTGTGTCTGTGTGTGTGTGTGTGTGTGTGTGTCTGTGTGTGTGTGTCTGTGTGTGTGTTTTGTTTGTGTGTGTGTGTCTGTGTGTGTGTGTGTGTCTGTGTGTGTGTGTTGTGTGTGTTTGTCTCTGTGTGTGTGTGTTTGTTCTGTGTGTGTGTGTCTGTGTGTGTGTGTGTGTTGTGTGTTGTTGTGTGTGTGTGTGTGTGCGTGTGTGTTTGTCTGTGTGTGTGTGTGTGTGTGTGTGTGTTTGTCTGTGTGTGTGTGTGTGTGTTTGTCTGTGTGTGTGTGTCTGTGTGTGTCTGTGTGTGTGTGTGTGTGTGTCTGTGTGTGTCTGTGTGTGTGTGTCTGTGTGTGTCTGTGTGTGTTGTGTGTTGTCTGTGTGTCTGTGTGTGTGTGTGTGTGTCTGTGTGTGTGTGTTGTCTGTGTGTGTGTGTGTGTCTGTGTGTTGTGTGTGTGTGTGTGTGTTTGTCTGTGTGTGTGTGTGTGTGTGTGTGTGTGTTGTGTGTGTGTGTGTGTGTGTGTTTGTTCTGTGTGTGTCTGTGTGTGTGTGTGTGTGTTTGTCTCTGTGTGTGTGTGTGTCTGTGTGTCTGTGTGTGTGTGTGTGTCTGTGTGTCTGTGTGTGTGTGTGTGTGTTTGTCTCTGTGTGTGTGTGTGTCTGTGTGTGTGTGTCTGTGTCTGTGTGTGTGTTTGTCTGTGTGTGTGTTTGTCTCTGTGTGTGTGTCTGTGTGTGTGTGTGTGTGTGTGTGTGTGTGTGTGTGTGTCTGTGTCTGTGTCTGTGTGTGTGTGTGTCTGTGTGTGTGTTTGTCTGTGTGTGTGTTTGTCTCTGTGTGTGTGTGTGTGTGTGTGTGTGTGTGTGTGTGTGTGTGTGTGTGTGTGTGTGTGTGTGTGTGTGTGTGTGTGTGTGCGAGTGTTCAAAGCTGAGCTATAAACTGTGAGTTGGATGATGTGAAGGTCAGATGATATCTATCAGGCATTAAATCTTCAACGTTCTTCTGGGAGTTGAGGTTTTTCTCATTCTCCAGGAAACATCAGCAGGTCAGCTCAGATCAGCGTTGATCTTATTTTCTTGTGTGCTCTGAACAGGATCTCTGTGGAATGTAGCTCCGCCTCCTAATAGGATCCACATGACCGCAGCTGATCTGCAGGGATTAAACCTGGATATTGGGAAACTGTAAAAGGTGGAGTTACAGAGAGCTTTGCACGTGGAATAAAACATGTTGAAATGCTCGAGCCCAGCCTGAGGTCTGTCACGGCTCGGTGGGGTTTTCTCTCGAACGTTGTCGGTTCTTTAGCTTACAGAGGAAAGAAGCTGAACGAAGGTGATTTAAAGTTGTTTTTGTTAGCAGCCCAGCTGATGTTGGGCTGAGGATGAGTGAATGGGGAAAAGAGACTCCCAGTAATGGGACATTTCTCCTGAAATGGGAGAAAGAGAACACATCTACAACATGTGCCAAACTATTTGTTGACAGCAAAGATCAGACGTTTTCTTTTGTTTTTCAGGTGATAATAAGGCCAGTGCTTGTTTCTCCTGCAGACTGGATGCTGCTGAGGCTAAAGTAGAGGTCCTGCAGGTCCAGGATTAAGTTCTGGGAATGTTTTTAAAAATTCCTGATGGATTTCAGAGGTTGCTGGTGATTATTAGTCTGTTGTGATTTGGCACTGCATAAATCACATTCTTGAAGGTTCCTGTGCATTTGTTTATGGTTCATGAAGGTTCAGCACATCTTCACCTGATTCATTTTGCTTGTGGGAGAGAACACCGGCTATTTCCACGTCTCTGAGCTCGTCTTGGACTTTGATCCCGTTCACTTGTATATATTTCATTAAGTTTGATTATTGAATGTTTTCGTTTGAATCATGTGGGTACTGTTGTTATTGTTGTTGTTGGGTTCGGTCTCAGTTGCAGTGAAAGCTGCATTTTGCTGTCAGGAGCAGCTCGTGGTCAAAGTTACCATTTTCCCTGGATCTCTGATTATGTTCCTCCATCTATTTTCTCGCCACGTTTATTTCACCTCCTCCATCTTTTCCTCAGTCTGTTGTTGAGCTGCTGTTCCTCCACAGCTGGTGCAGCAGCCCAACAGCTGCTTTTTAGCTCCGCCTTCTAGCTGCTTCTTCCACGCTAAACTTTTTCTACAAGCTGTGTGAGCACACAGTGAAGGTAGGGTTGGGCCGGTCTCGTTAAGAAGTTTGATTAGGCGATCCAGTGTGAGTAATGAAAGTGAACGAATGGGCTGCTGTCATAAGGTCGGTGCGCAGCGGCCCTTCCGTGCACCATATGCCAGATTACCAGTCCAGCCCGATGGTGTGAGTGCTTCACTCCAGTTCACACGTACGAGGAAACCCTCCATGAAAGGTTGAATCTGCTTCTCTGTGGTATGCTTCACTGCTGTGACGTGTGATTGGTGTGGCAGTCCTCGTTCTGTCCATATCTGTGCCTTTCCCGGTCAAAGGTTTCTGGGAGCCTGCTTTTCTCTGCTTTCTTGTCTTTTAGTATCTATTTGTTGTTTTGGCATCAAGCTGGTTTTGGTTAATCTCAGAAAATATGTCAGCAGCCTCACAGCTCGTGCACTGGAGAGAACCGAAGAAATCTGCAGCGGCGTTCGGCCTCTCACTGCTGGTTCTTCTCTCCTTGGCAACACTGTCAGTCATCAGCGTGGTGTCCTATTTGCTCCTGGCATGCCTCTGTGTCACAATCACCTTCAGGTGGGTGGAACCTGCTATAGACAGATCGCATTACCCAGCATGAAAAACATCTTCCTGTTCTCCATCCCGTCTGCAGGGTTTATAAATCAGTGATCCAGGCCGTCCAGAAGTCCGATGAAGGTCATCCATTCAGGTAACCCGGGTGATTTGATTCTAACCTGGCTCTAATCACTCTAACCTCACTAGAGCTCTCGTCTTCAGGTCTCTGTTGGAGAGGGACATTTCCGTGTCCTCAGAGTCAGTTCGGCAGCTCGCTGACCAGTTTCTGATCCACTTGAACTGGTTCAGTAATCAAACAAGGAGGCTGTTACTGGTGGAAGACCTGGTCGACTCCCTGAAGGTCAGCGTGTGTTTTTATTCTGTGTGTTTGTTTGTTGTGTGTATTCTCAACTTTATCTATCCACGAGGCCAGATAACACACACCAAGCACTTAAACTGCAGGAATGTCTAAATTCAGATAAAGCTGAGGTTACTGTACTCGACCCTAAAAACCCAGAGTCCTGACAGGGACTAGAAAGAGAGAGCAGATTTCTCCTGTTTTGGCTTCCTGTTAAATCCAGAATTCAGAATCCTGCTCCTCACATACAAGGTCTTAAATAATCAGGCCCCATCTTATCTTAATGACCTTGTAGTACCATATCACCCTATTAGAGCAAAAGGGAGTTTTTCCTTCCCACTGTCGCCAAAGCGCTTGCTCACAGGGCGTCATATGATTGTTGGTTTTTCTCTGTATTATTTAGGGTCTTTACCTTGAGACTGTTGTGATTTGATGCCTTATAAATAAAACTGAATTTTGTGTATTGTTTGTGTGTTTGGTCCATGTCTTTGTTCTACGTGTTCCAGCTGGCAGCCGTCACCTGGGTGATGACGTACGTTGGTGCCGTGTTCAATGGCGTCACCATCTTGATCCTTGGTGAGTTTGTTTCCCTCTGAGCGAGTTAAATATCAGTCTTTCTGATCTCCGATTGGTTGTCTCTCTGTGTGCAGCTGACATCATTTTCTTCACTACACCGTTGATCTACCAGAAGAAGAAGGTAAAGACACACCTGGTGTCCCTGTCTTCTGCCCAGTTTGCTCCGTGCTTAGCTCAGAGTGTTTCTGTGTTCAGGCTCAGATCGATCGTCACGTTGAGGCTGTTCGGCTCAAACTGGAGGAAACTCTGCAGAGGTGAGGTCACGGGTAATCAGGTGTTCATCATGTTTGGCCTCACCGAAGGTCAACTCTGATCTAAATGCCTCACTGAGGTCAGAGGTGAGAATCTGACCTTCATTTCTGCAGCACCACTGGGGTTTGTAATGTTTGTCTCAGGTGTCCATGGTCCACAGGTAACTGCCGTCTGTCTCACCTGTCCACATGCTGACCTCAGATCTAAACTCAGTGTCTGTCTTAATTGAACCAGGTGAGCTCTGTTCTACCTTTATGAAGAGTCGGACTGAACTGAGCATGCTCAGTGTGTTCATACTGTCTGTTCCTAATGTGCTTGTGACCTGTCTATAGTTAAAGTCCACAGTCGGGTTGCTGATTGATCATCCATGTTCAGTTTCCACGTTAACACAGATGAGCCCACCTCTAATCTGCAGGTGTTCACATTATTCTGTCCAGACAAGCAGCTGACAAGCGTCCTGTGTCTGTTTTCAGTCTGCAGGATAAGTTACCTGGCACTGTGAAGAAGACCAAGGTTGAGTGACACCTGAGATGTTGAAGCTCTGCCCCCTCCTCTCATTGGCCTGTTTGTCTGTGACTCACAAGTCTTTGAATAAAATCAGACTGACGAGAAACAAGCCGTGTGTTTTTATTCTGGCCCAGCGTCACCAGTCCTCACCTGTCCAAGCCGTCACGTTCAGTGGCGTGGGCGTGGTCATGTTTACACAGTTACTTCCTGATGTTTGGACAGGAAGCAGCTTCACTGTTTCATGACAGCGAGGAAGTCATGGAACTGTGAATTTTACTTTGTTGGAAGTATTCTGTAGTATAACTACATTGTGAATGCCCTTCAAAATAAAGATCACCATGACTGTGACCAGTCAAGAGTGATGCTTTTATTTTGAAGGCTTCTGAGATTGGTTTAAATATCAGAGATAAAAATATCTCGCTGCGCAAACATGATTCCGTGTGTGCTTTTACTTTGTCTCCTTCACGCCATCATGGCTGAAAACAGACTCGTCTCCGTGGACTTTGAGGTCTTCGGGAACGTGCAGGGTAGGTCGCCTGACACGTGACGGCGAGTTTGTGTGTTTTTTGAGGTTTTACTCGCTGACCCTGTGTTTGTTCTCCATGTTCAGGAGTGTGCTTCAGGATGGTGAGCTTCCTCTTTTCCTTCACATTACTGCTGTTTTTGATCAGGATGTACCATGGAAACGTGTCACATGACTAAACGTACACACCTGTGAATGTGTGCCAGTACACGGAGGATCACGGGCGCAGTCTGGGGCTCAGCGGCTGGGTGAAAAACACCAGACAGGGCACTGTGATTGGTCAGGTCCAGGGACCGTGGGACAAAGTCAGTGACATGTGAGTCTGGCTGACCAATCAGAGCCTCCGAACACACACACACACACACACACACACACACACACAGATATATCCTTTAATGGATTTTTATTTGAAAATGTCAGTGCAGTATTACAGCTCCCATAATGCTTTGCAGGTCTGTGCTGTCCTCATTTGCCTCCTCCTATGACCTGGCTATGACCTCACAGTCAGAGCAGGAGGAGGACTGAGGAGCAAGGAGCTGCAGGAGCATATTCGGAGAGGCAGGGCCACAGTTCTCCTAAACTACTTGTGTGTGGCAGTGAAGCGCTCTGATACGATCACATGACTCTCACCTGTCACATCTGTGACATCAGACGTTTACATTAAAATCAAGCAGGTCCTTAAACTCTTTATGCCACAACTCTGTCACTCACTGGTGTGATGGGAGGGGCTAAAGAGGTGTCAGTGTGTAGTTTGTGAAATGACTCCTCCCACTCGTGTTGTAACTGTCCTGTGATATAACCTGAACTCTTTAATGAGGATGGGGTTTAAACACAATTAAGCCCCTCCTACTAAGTGATGCCAGTGGCGTGGACTGTGTCTCTGTCAGGTGACCTCATTGTGATGAAGAGGAGCGCAGTGTTTCTTTATTCACTGTGGGGTCAGAGGTCACTGAGAAATACCCCGAATGTACTAACTGCACTCTTCTTCCTCCTCCTCTTCCTCAGGAAGCACTGGCTGAAGAGCGTCGGCAGTCCGAGTTCCCGAATTGATCGAGCCGTGTTCTCCGACGAGCGAGACATTTCCAAAGTGGAGATCCACGGGTTCTCAACTCGCTACTGAGCACGCTCACACACCTGATCTGCAGCTGACTCCAAATCTGACAGTATTGATTATTGATTGGTGACATCACTGTTTCCAATGTTTAATATGATCAGAGAAATAAAGTGTAAAGATTTACTGTTGCCATGGTGAACAAACTGAGTTTTTATTACACAGCTGCTTCCACCAGGGGGCGGCCTCTGGCAGCTGATTGGCAGCTCCTCCTGAAGCCCCACCGAGTTTATGAAGTCCACAGACCCGGAGGCTCGGTCATGTGACCGCTCAGGGCCCACTACACGTTTACCTTTGCTCACCTTCATCCACATCAGGCCTGCAGCCAGCTTAAACACATGCGGCTTCACAGCGCCTCCTCAGGCTGCTCATTGCTGACCAAATGAAATACATATTTTTTATATACAGATATAAAAACGATCGACCTGATGAAAATGTTTCTGAGTAAGAACCTTCTATCTGTGAATGCTGCTGTACTTACAGTATTAATCACATCATCTCCAGGAAAACTAGGCCAAAAAAGTAAATTCTGATGTAAACCTTTATAAAAATAAAGACACGTAACAGCAGAAAGAGAGCAGGATCTCTTTGCACATGAAAGAAGAGTTTTGGATAAATCAGCTAATTCTGTATCAGCTGATTCAGCTTGGATCAAACATCTGTATGATCCACAGTCTGAAGAGAAAACATCCTTAAACATCTGCGCTGAGGCGTTTAGTAAAAGCTCATCGTCGCCAGCTGACAGAGGTGGAGGCGCACGGAGGTCAGCTCCTGCTGCGACTAACTCACTGCGCCTCTGTGTGAAAACAAATAACAGCAAGAATCATAGAGAGGCTCCGCCTACTTCCAGGTAGCCGAAGAGGACTGACGAGACCGGTCAGCCGAGCTGTGACTGATCCCATCAGATCACCTCATCTTCATTCAGCGTGCTGCTTCGTGCTGTTCGATTGTTCTGCTCACGGTTCAAACTCTTCGTCGTCACCACGATCCGCTGCGAGTCATGTGACACAGTGCTGACTGTTCAGTAAATGCTAGTGGTGTTACTATGGTAACGAATCCTGGCACAGCATCCAGGCAGCGAACCTCCTGATGTGACTCTCCTCCTGCAGGCGGTGGTTTTCCTGACGGAGGCTCAGCACCTGCTGCTGCAGCACAGCTTTGTCCCGCTGCTCCTGAACACAACATGGACACAAGTCAATGCGATGATGTCATCCGCTTGCCTCCATGACATCAGTTTAATGCGCTTTACCTTTAGCAGGTCGAGCTGCAGCTGCTGAAGAATCTCTTCCAGTTGGAGGACTTCACCTGAGAGGGAGCGGGCTGTGATGTCACTGAGGGAAGGGGAGCCGTGATGTCACTGTGATGTCAGCAATATTACACGGAAAATAAATGAGGTGTCTCACCTGTCCTCCAGGGCGGAGCTCTGTGATGTCACCCCCAGTGTGCGTTGTGTCTGATTGATGTCCGCTGTGAACAGGTGAACAACCAGCTAACTAAGAGAGGGTGGCGGCTTCGCAACAACAGACAAACAACAAACCAGATGTGACCAACGGTGAGTCATGTGACCACAGGAGGCGGTCCTTAAGTAATTTTGCCTGTAACAAGCAGTTATTTGAGTTCCTGTTTCCTGCCTATCAGCTCGAAGTGGTCCACCCCTTCTGCCATCTCCGTAAATTAGTTTCCAGACGGTTTGGAGGATGCTGAGGGTTGCTGAGGTCCTAACTGATCTGTGAGCTTTAATCTGCTCCTCGGTGAAACCAGGAGCCCTTCTCAGTTGACCTCACTGACCTCTGGGAGTGTGCATCATTACCAGGTCAGAAACGCGACACATTTAAGGACCTTAAAATCAGTTTTCAATAGCGCTGGGAGCAAAGAACAGGCACTGTTTCTCCTTCACTCACTATGTATTAACAGACCTCTCTGCATTGAATCATATCTGTTATTAACCTCTGTCTCTCTTCCACAGCATGTCTTTATCCTGTCTTCCTTCTCTCACCCCACCCAGTCGCAGCAGATGGCCGCGCCCCTCCCTGAGCCTGGTTCTGCCGGAGGTTTCTTCCTGTTAAAAGGGAGTTTTTCCTTCCCACTGTCGCCAAAGTGCTGCTCATAGGGGATCATACGATTGTTGGGTTTGTCTCTGCATCTATTATTGTAGGGTCTACTGTCTCCTTGTTGTGATTTGGCGCTGTATAAATAAAACTGAATTGGATGGAATCTGGAGGTTAGAGACTAACTAAGGTGGCTAGAGCTCAGGAGATACAGCAGGTCACCTACTAATCGCAAGGCTGGAGGTTCGATGCCCATCTGCTCCAGTCTATGTCTTTGGGCAAGATATTAACCCCAATTTGCTCTCTGTTGCATCCATCGGAGTATGAACATGTGTAAATGTTAGATAGAAAGCATTTACATAGAAAAAAGGTATTGTGCAACTGAGGCAAGTTGTGTAAAGCGCTTTGAGTGTCAGAGTAGAGAAGAAACAGTCTATCTAAATCTGTCCCAACGAGACAAGAAAGCCTCATCATAATTTAATCCTCCTTCCATCCAGGAGTTTGATAAGTTTGAGTGCAGTGACTGTTACCTCTGAAGGCTTGAGTGCTCTCCAGGTGAAGCCAGTCCAGCTGTGATGAAGCTCGTGGGAGCGGCATGTGTTTAACTCCAGACCTCAGAGCCAATAAGCTGTCAGAGTAAGAGCGGTTACCTGTGGAGGAAGGCAGGTGAGTGCTGACATTGACTTGCATTCTAAAAGTCAGAGAACAGGTACTCACTCCTCTGTAGCGGCAGTGGCAGTTTTCTGCAGATGGTGGGTGGTAGCGTGCTGTTGATACGTGGGGGCAGGTGGTCCGAGGGCAGCTGAGAACAGCGAAACAAAATCCCGTACAACATGTCACGTGACATCGTGTGGGTCAGACATCTCCATGGAGACGGAGGAGGAACACCAGGGACTCTGATGGGCTGAGAGATGAGGGATTGGTTGTTAGAATGAAAATAAAGTTGGTCAGAGGTCAGGGTAAAGTTGCAGTCAACGAAAACTGGAAACACCATAAGTCGGACTCGTTCCTGGTGGGCTCCGCCAGGGCTGCCTTTTTCACCGATTCTGTTCATAATTTTTACGGAAAGAATTTCTAGGCGTAACCAAGTGGCAGAATCTCAGAATCTCATCTCTGCTTTGTGCAGACAAAGTGATTCTGTTGGCTTTATCAGGTGATGGCCTCCAGCTCGCACTGGAGTGGTTCACAGACAAGTGTGAAGCGGTGGAAATGAAAATCGGCACCTCCAAATCTGAGGCCATGGGTCTCACCTGAAAATGGGTGGAGCTTTCCTCTCCTCAGGAACTCTCTGCAGGAGGGGGAGATACAGGAGAGGTGGAGGAAGATCTCAGCCTGGGCGTCTATTGTCTCATGTAGTCTGGAAGATGAGTGGATGGTGGGGTGGGTGCAGTTTTCTCTGTGGTGGGGTTGGGTGGACTGTCCCGGGC